GATTGACAGTTGAGAGGCGGGACCAAAGAGCCAAAGCTCAACCCCCGCAAGCACAATTAGGTGAGTACAATTAGGTGAGTACACACACACACACACACACACACACACACACACACACACACACACACACACACACACACACACACACACACACACACACACACACACACACACACACACACACACACACACACACACACACACACACACACACACACACACACACACACACACACACACACACACACACACACTTACTTTACAGTTATGTCAGCTCAACTCTGGAATTTACCGCACCATCATGGCGTCTTTATTTCCTTAAATAAAGAGAAGCTGGATAACGCTCGAAGGTATGCCACCAGACTAGTCCCAGAACTGAGAGGTATGAGCTACGAGGAAGGCTACAAGTATTTACCTTTACACTGAAGAAACAGAGAGAGCATGATTACCACATACAAAATATCAAGAGTTAGTACACAAATAGAGGGACATAGATTAAAACTAAGTACCCAAAACGCCATAGAGAACACTCGAAAGAATTTGTTCACTGTGAGAATTGTGAAGGATTGTAATGTGATAAGAAGTGAGATAGGTGGTTATCTCGAGAGGTTATCGTGAGAGGATTTCGGGGCTTAGCGTCCCCGTGGCCCAGTCCTCAACCAGGCCTTCTTTTTTGTTACACACCCCCAAAAAGCAGTCCGTAGCAGCTGTCTAACTCGCAGGTACCTATTTACTACTAGGTTGAACAGGGACATCAGGGTGAAAGAAACGCTGCCCATTTGTTTCCGCGGGGATCAAACTTAGGATTACGAATCCCGAGCGCTGTCCACTCAGCCATGAGGCCCCTATCAGGTGGTGGAGGGAGACTCCACACACACACAGCTTTAAATACAGATATGACAGCCCAGTAGGCTTTGGCACCTGTACATCAGTCGACCGGGAATTGAGAGGCGGGGCCTGGGAACCGTCCGGGTGGAAATTCTGGCCAAGGAAGCTGTTGTTTGCCACGACACAACGTTCCTTCAACACGGCACTAATGACGGGCTCACCATAGCCCGTGCTACTTGGAACTTCTTGTTCCAGGTAGCGAATCTTTAACAACATCAACAACAACGACACTAATGACTCGTATGGCCAATTTTTCCCCCTGATCGCCCTACCGTGTGGGTCAACATGTCTCTGAAAACCTCCCCCGCTCCCCCAGACAAAAATTCCCGCCAAAATCTCGAAGAAGTTTGGCGTGAATTATATGAATTAATTAGTTTCTTAAGACGCCGAGGATGGAAGAGGTAGCAAGAAAGGCCCAAATAAAGAGAAGAATATTTTTACCCTCGTTTCCCTCCCTTAACTCCGTCCTAATTTACACGTAGTCTTACCCACTCGCCCGAGATGACGCACAGCCGCCTAAATCCCAGAGAAGGAGGAGGCTAGCGGGAGGGAGAAGGAGGGAGGGAGAGAGGGAGAGGGAGAGAGGGAGAGGCTAATATATCCATCATACCCACACGGTCGTAAATCCGAAACCAATTTTATGCCGTGCGCATACATTTATCCACCTGGCCATTTAACCTGTGTGGCTCCGGCCTCCCTCTCTCTCCCTTGCATAAACCCATTTCAATTTTACATTCCCAATTTAATTTAGAGTATAGAATCTCAATCGAGGTGGCCCGATATTGGATATTTATGTAAATTGACCGTGGAGCCCAGAGGGGGGGCAGGGGGGGGGGCTGGGCATTGATTTCATATTGTTGGTTGTCAGACTCGTGGTTCCTTCCCTGACTGAGTGACGCTTGTTGTAGCCTGGCCTGCACGGCTGCCTCCACCCCCCCCCCCTCTACCACCACCACCAGCTGCTGCTGCTGCTGGCCCCTCCACCACCACCACCACCACCACCACCACCAGCTGCTGCTGCTGCTGCTGGCCCTCCACCACCACCACCACCAGCTGCTGCTGCCTCTCCTCCACCACCACCACCACCACCTGCTGCTGCTGCTGCTGCCCCTCCACCACCACCACCACCACCAGCTGCCCCACCACCACCACCACCACCAGCTGCCCCACCACTACCACCACCACCACCACCACCAGCTACCTCTCCACCACCACCACCACCACCACCAGCTGCCCCACCACCACCACCCCCACCAGGACCAGCTACCTCTCCACCACCACCACCACCACCAGCTGTCACACAATACGGTGACGCAGGTGTGGACTGACTGTTGTATATAAGACAGTTTCCTTGGCTCTCCACTTGGCCCAACTTGGTCAACTGCCAAGTCGGTCATTATTACATAAGACGTTCCCCGAGCATCAGCTGCACTCTGGTTGCACCATCAATACCTGCACTCCACCACTGGTTATTGCTCTCACTCCTCACTCAAGTTTTAAAAAAGTATTCTCACAGTAAATTGTCAACAAATTGATTCGGTTACCCTGTGACTCTGGTCCACAGATGGTTCCAGCGTCACCCCAGATTAAGTCTGAAGAAACTTGTGTGCTCACTTATTTGTGCCTGCAGGATCGAGCATTGACTCTTGGATCCCGCCTCTCTAGCCATCGGTTGTTTACAGCAATGACTCCTGTCCCATTTCCCTATCATATTTAGTTTTAAAATTATGAATAGAGTTTGCTTCCACCGCCTGTTCCTTAGGTGCATTCCATTTTTCCACTACTCTCATGCTAAAAGAAAACTTCCTAACATCTCTGTGACCCATCTGAGTCTCATGTTTCTACCCATGACCTGTTTCTACCTCGTTCTGTTACTATTACGTGTGAACATTTCATCTATTTCCACTCTTGTCAATTCCCCCGAGTATTTTATACGTTCCTATCATATCCCCCCCCCCCTCTCCCTCCTTTTTTCTAGTGTCGTAAGGTTCAGTTCCTTCAGGCGCTCTTCGTATGTGTGTGTGTGTGTGTGTGAGAGAGAGAGGGGGAGAGAGAGAGAGACGGGAGAGAGAGAGAGACGGGAGAGGGCGGACGAAAGATGTGTTTGATAGAGGGAAAACTGGGACAAAATAACAGAAAATGCTACGCAGGAGGAGAAACTAATTAATATCTGGGTAAAAGGAAAATTATATATACAGGTGTTTTATTAGGCGCCAGGTGCAACAAATGTCAAAATAATATTTAATTTTGCATTGTATTAAAATATGTGCAACTGGTGCTGCAGGCTGGGGCCACAGTGTGTGTGTGTGTGTGTGTGTGTGTGTGTGTGTGTGTGTGTGTGTGTGTGTGTGTGTGTGTGTGTGTGTGTGTGTGTGTGTGTGTGTGTGTGTGTGTGTGTGTGTGTGTGTGTGTGTGTGTGTGTGTGTGTGTGTGTGTGTGTGTGTGTGTGTGTGTGTGTGTGTGTGTGTGTGTGTGTGTGTGTGTGTGTGTGTGTGTGTGTGTGTGTGTGTGTGTGTGTGTGTGTGTGTGTGTGTGTGTGTGTGTGTGTGTGTGTGTGTGTGTGTGTGTGTGTGTGTGTGTGTGTGTGTGTGCAACTGGTGCCATAGTGTGTGTGCAACTGGTGCCATAGTGTGTGTGCAACTGGTGCCATAGTGTGTGTGTGTGTGTGTGTGTGTGTGTGTGTGTGTGTGTGTGTGTGTGTGTGTGTGTGTGTGTGTGTGTGTGTGTGTGTGTGTGTGCGCGCGCGCAACTATGGCCACAGTGTACTCACCTAGTTGTGCTTGCGGGAGTTGAGCTCTGGCTCTTTAGTCCCGCCTCTCAACTCTCAATCAACTGGTGTACAGGTTCCTGAGCCTACTGGGCTCTATCATATCTACATTTGAAACTGTATATGGAGTCAGCCTCCACCACATCACTGCTTAATGCATTCCATCTGTTAACTACTCTGACACTGAAAAAGTTCTTTCTAACGTCCCTGTGCCTCACTTGGGTACTCAGTTTCCACCTGTGTCCCCTTGTTCGCGTACCACCTGTGTTAAACAGTTTATCTTTATCTACCTTGTCAATTCCTCTGAGAATTTTGTAGGTAGTGATCATGTCTCCCCTTACTCTTCTGTCTTCCTGTGTCGTGAGGTGCATTTCACGCAGCCTTTCCTCGTAACTCATGCCTCTTAGTTCTGAGACTAGCCTAGTGGCATACCTCTGAACTTTTTCCAGCTTCGTCTTGTGCTTGACAAGGTACGGGCTCCATGCTCTGACCGCATACTCCAAGATTGGTCTTACATATGTGTATACAAGGTTCTGAATGATTCCTTGTACAGGTAGGTTCCTGAAGGCAGTTCTGAAGTTAGCCAGCTTTGCATACGCCGCAGATGTAATTACTTTGATGTGGGCTTCAGGAGACAGGTTTGGTATGATTTCAACTCCTAGATCTTTCTCTCTGTCCATTTCATGAAAGACTTCATCTCCTATTCGGTACCCTGTGTCTGGCCTCCTGTTTCCACCGCCTAGTTTCATTACCTTCCATTTACTCAGGTTCAACTTTAGTAGCCATTTGTTGCATTCATTCAGTTTGTCTAGGTCATCTTGTAGCCTTATACTATCTTCCTCCGTCTTAATCCTCTTCATAATTTTTGCATCATTAGCAAACAATGAGAGGAACGGTCCTATACCATCTGGGAGATCATTGACATATATCAGAAACAGTATGGGTCCAAGTACTGAACCCTGCGGGACTCCACCGGAGATGCCTCGCCAATTTGAGGCCTCACCCCTCACAGTGACTCGCTGTCTTTTGTTACTTAGTTACTCCCTTATCCAATGGATTACCTTCCCTCTCACTCCTTCGGGTACCCTGTGGGGCAGTACCCAGGACACCCCACACCCCCGACCTACTATATGATTAAAACACGAGGGAATTTTACTGCCCGAAAAGCTTTGCGTAATAGTGCCTTTAGGCATTGTATGTACTAGCTCTATCTATAAATCCATCAACTTTGTATCTTACCTTGTATGTATGTACCTTACCTGAATAAAAATTTATTTATTTATTTATTTATTTATTGAATATTCCACGTGTAAGTGATTAGATCACTGTTTTAACTTATATTTAGATGCTTAGGCTAACCTACCCCAACCCCTGCACTAACACCTTCCAAGGCTTCTTATATCGAAGGTCGCCATCCCTCCAAGTGGAGGTATGGCAACTTTCCATTGCACGTTCATCTGTGCCAGGTAAGTACGATGGGATCACCATAGTCCGTGCTGCTTGGAAAGTTTTGTTGCGAGTATATGAATCTAAAACAACAACAATTTCCTTTACAAAACCTGCAGCTGTATTCGGAATGTATTGTGCTCATGATGTCAATCAAGAGACAAAAACGACACTTTCCTGCACCATGGGAGATCATCACTCTCCAAATTACTATCATCCTTTCCCACTCAAGAAGATGATTAAAGATAGAATTGATGAGTTAGCCAAAACGTGCTCCTAAAGTTGGAATTGATAACCATCATTGAGCAAGGAAATGTATTTGTTTATCTCTCAGAATGTTCGGTAATATGTTTATTGTTTGTGATGTGTGTCTATGTATGTATTAACACGATGTACTGAACGGGGTGAGAATAGCTTGAGCTACCTCATCCCTTTGTGTGTATTTGACCTCAATAAACTTATTTCAATTTCAATCTTTGAGCATGTTGAGGGCAGCAATATACCAGCAACTGCCACATCTTCCTTATGGAGCATGAAGTACATACATAGGATACAAGCATTGTTGTTGTTTTAGATTCAGCTACTTAGAACAAAAGTTCCAAAGTAGCACGGGCTATGGTGAGCCCGTAGATACAAGCAGATTGTTGGATTCATAGGAGAGAGAGTACGTACGCCGCCTTTATCTCAGGTAAAGCCCCTAATACGCACGTTTCCTATTTATAAATAAATATGTTTATTCAGGTAAGGTACATACATACAAGTGATGTTACATTAATGGATTGATATGTAGATAGAGCAAGTACATACAATGCCTAAAGCTTTAATGCCCCTGTTCACGTGGCAGTCAATAGGTACCTAGGAGTCAGTCAGCTTGTTGAGGAGTTGCATCCTGGCGCGGGTCAGCAGTTCGACCTTAGAGAGGGACCTCGGTATAAGCCTAATATAGACTGACTTCCTTGCCCTCCTGACACAATACAATAGTTATTATATTGGTTTGTCCTGAAAACCACAGAAAACGATTTTTACTAAAAGAAAACGTCAATACAATTTTAATATTATGGAGAACAAGTACAGTATAGCTAAAAATACATTTGAAACCAATGTTCCGTGCCGTATTGGAGCCGACCCAACTGTTAACACGTGACAGGGATTCCAACAAATCATTGGTGCTCCAGACGTGGATCATTGAAATTGAATTGAAATAAGTTTATTGAGGTAAAATACCCACAAAGGGACGAGGTAGCTGAAGCTATTCTCACCCCGTCGTGGATCATTGTATCTAAGCATGGAGACCTCATCTTCAGAAAGACATATAGCTGCTCTGAAGACAGTATAACACCAGGCAACAAAAATCATTCTAGAGCTACGTCAACTCGTACTAGGAATGGTTGAGGGCCACAGGACTAACAACACTACAACCCAGGCATGACAGGGCTACACTCATTGAAACTTTTAAAATACTGAATAATTTGCCTCATTTACGTGATGGCCACTAAACTAAAGGCCTCGACGAGTACAGGAAGCCGGTGGCTTGTCGAAAGCCCCACCAATTGTCTTGATCTTTTCCAGGTAGATTTTAAAACTTAATACAGTTTTGGTATTTACGGCTTTGGCGGGTAGGCAGTTCCATGGGTATAGAACCCTGTGGGTGAAAATCCACAACGAATTTTAGAATCCAGGTGAATCCATCAGGACAAATAGGTGAACCTTTGACAAGCCATTGTGCTTCCTGTCCTGGTCGAGGCCACTGTTGTGTTCGTGGTCCTCAGGTAAATTCAGCTAACTCCATGCAGTCCTCCTCGGCTTATACATTCCTTATTACCTTAGTGTGGTATGGAATCATTGACATGTACGAGCTCATTTTCTTGGGCAGGTCATTCACACAGCGGTAAATTAGGAACAGCAGTACGGTAGTAGTAGTTATATTGTTTGGGCGTGAACACACACTTCTGACGTTGGGCTGAACCTGTTTTGGGACTCTGGGACCTTCTAACCCACTCTTTACAGTGGCCTTATGACTAGTTACTTTGCCTTGCGGCATATTTCATGTACAACCTTCCGGCTATTTTTCCTCGTGCTGAGCCTTGCGGCCAAGACCGAGCCTTGGGGAACCCCACAGTCCTCCAGCTTTAAACCTCCTCACTGGCCGACTTTTTTTTTTATGTACTAGTACTTCTTTTTGAGAACTTCCTTAGTTTAGTGACTTCTGTTATGACCCCAAGTAGCCTTGGTTGAACGATCGAGTCTGCCCCTGAGCTCTCTAGAGTGGAGTACTGCTGCACAATGACAGCACCTTTCAAAGCTGGAGAAATTACTGACCTGGAGAGCGTGCAGAGATCCTTTACTGCTAGAATCCACTCAGTAAAACATCTAAACTATTGGGACCGACTAAAGAGCCTAAAACTGTACTCCCTTGAGCGCAGGCGGGAGAGGTTCATAATAATTTACACGTGGAAAATATTAGAGGGGCTGGTCCCAAACCTGCACACAGAAATAACATCACATGAGACCAGAAGACATGGCAGGATGTGCAGAATACCCCCGTTGAAAAACAGAGGTGCAACTGGTACTCTGAGAGAGAACTCTATCAACATCAGAGGTCCGAGACTGTTCAACACGCTTCCACTACACATAAGGGGCATAACTGGCCGACCCCTCACAGTGTTCAAGAGAGAACTGGATAAGCACCTCCAAAGAATACCTGATCAACCAGGCTGTGACTCGTACGTCAGGCTGCGAGCAGCCGCGTCCAACAGCCTGGTTGATCAGTCCGGCAACCAGGAGGCCTGGTCGACGACCGGGCCGCGGGGACGCTAAGCCCCGGAAGCACCTCAAGGTAACCTCAAGGTAAGCCCCAGGGATAGTTATTCTGCATTCTGGACCTGATTGAGAGGTCAGAGGAAAAATATATATATTAAATGTATAATAAATGCCAGTGAATAATTTTAAAATATGGACAGAAGATGAGCATATAAATAAGTGACGTGAAATGAGATGTCGATACTTTGGTGACAAGACGTGAGACTAGCAGGACATCTTGACCTCGCTTGAGTTGCCGCAGTTGCCAAAGGGGGACATGTGTTCCGGTGTCCTAGGAATATAGAGGAATACAGCCCTTGATGCAGTGTTTGGGTGACGACTACAGTGCATAACTGCTAAAGAAGCTGTCAAGGGTGAGACACACGTTGCCTCTCGGTATTTATAAAGATTAGGAGACGGTCTCAAGCCAAGCGGTGATCGTACCTATGTGGAGCTCTAAATCGTGATTTCCTCAGGGAGAGGAAGATTAGCAGGTGGCTTGGTGTGTGGAGCCTGCTGGACGATTGTGTGAGCTCAAGTCAGGAGCGGAAGAGCTGTGAGGCAGACATTAAGGAACTTTGTTGGATGTCTTAGAGGACGCCATTTTGGGGAGCGCCGGAGCTGGGCGCCCCCGAGCTTCAAAATCTGCGGTAAGCTCATTAATCAGTTGTTAGAGTAGCCAATAGTGTTGGATCGTGTGCCCGGGGATCAAAGTGAACATATGTACATGTAGAATAGATATTTTATGAAGGCAGTGAGCTAAAATAAGGAGTTTAACTTCGGAGGGCATGCTGGAGAGAAGAGCGGCATATCCTCCCTCGCCAAAGGTCAAAAGGCAACTGAGGTGGCGGAGGCTCCCGGCGGCGTCAAGACATGTCACTCACTTGGACCCGTCCAGTCCGGGGGGAGTACCCACCACAGTCGGACGACGCTGTGTGGCGTCGGAGGGCGAAATTTAATGCTGGGATATAGTTTATTTTTTGCGTTCTGTTTGGGAAACATTTTTATTGGCATGGTAATGGAATTGCAGGTTTGTTAGGGAAGGAGTTTGTGGAGAAACTTCAAGGATAAAGAAGTTAATGGAGGATCTTCTTGGCTGGAGAAAGTATATGCTGAACTGTTTTTTTTTTCTACCACAGACGTGGCCACACATTTACAATGCTAACCAGCATATATACATTTTCTTCTGTCCTCCATGGACAGGGTTAGAGAAGTGTTAAACATATAGTTCAAGGGTTTATTGAACACTCAACCACAGAAGGTGATTCGGTGCTTTTAAAATGCTAAGCTAACCTACATACGTAAATACAGTACATAGATACACAGATTTACGTATGCCCTACATAAAGTGTTAGATGTGTCTTTTACATAGTGTCATTAATGTACATTCACAAAGGTGAAATGTAATTCTGATCAGCTTCCATATATACTTTATACCCATACATATACATACACACACACACATATACATACATATATACACACACACACATGCATTCACATACATTTGTCTCATTTACTCTGACAGGGTGAGGTAGCTGATAAAGAAACTAGTGTGCAATTAAGCACTTAATCACTGAAGGAGATGAAGGTGCTTTTACAAGCTCAGGTTATATAGTTACATCATATATATACATTGTATGATTGATATATTACATGGTCAATCTTGGATACAAGTCCAATATATCAAGTGTTCCAGTACTCATATAGTAATTACAGAGTTCAGCATACCTTAACCCAGGAGGGCGAAAGTCAGTCAGTATGGGACATTCTACAATATAATGTTCAAGAGAGTGCATGTTTTCTCTTTCACAAAGTTGACACATTGTGTACTCGACATTTGGGGTTTGAGAAAGCTGCCAGATACGTCTATATCCCAGGAGAATTCTGGCCACTATAACATTGCATTGCCGAGTTCTTGCTCTATTAGTCCCATATGTGAATGTCTCCTCACAATATCTATCATAATATTTAATGCTACTACTTTCAGGTCTTTGAGAATTTGTTAGGTCGGTGAGATCTTCATTAGATATTTGTTTAAGTATTCTCTTTGTCACTGCTAATGAAACACCCATATCAATTTCTACCATTGGTTTTCTGCAGGCTGACTTAGCAAGCATATCAACACTGTCATGCCTTGAGATGCCAACATGTGATGGTATCCATAGGAATTTAATCTCAAATCTGTTTTCTTTGGCAGCTAAAACATTCATTCTAATATCACTTGACTATTTACTGGGTGTCACTACTATGTGCGTTCAATGCCAGGAGTGCACTCTGCGAGTCACAGTATATAAGTCCACTGCCTTTGTCTTTTAAAAATTCAGTGGCAAGGTATATGCCTGCAAGTTCGGTTTGAGTTGTACTTGCCCAGTCATTGACGCGCTTCATTGCTGTATATACGAGAGAAGATTGTTCAAATATGTTACATGCACATCCGGTACATCGTCCACCTTCTTCTACACAGCCTTCGGTATAGCACTGATAAACATCGTTACCCATACTCTGAGTACTTTCAGTGATGCTTTTCAGTGTTAACTGTTTTAATAATGTAGTGTGCACACTATCTTTCTTGGGCACATTTACAAAATCAACTGATAGATCCCAGTTATCCCATGGAGTAATTGGCTGATTAATCATTAGTTGAGTTGGGTACATATTTAATATTTTGATGGAGTTGGCTACCTTGTAGAATCAATATACATAATCAGATTTCGTTCTTCTTCTATAGACCTCAGGTGAGTGCAGCATATTAGAAAGTTTAGCTTGAAACTTCATGTGTTGTCTAGATCTACTCAATGCCTTCACGCCGAAAACTGTGCTAATAGACAAAATTCTCTCACTTACGGTAGGTGGAGTTCATAAAATTTATTTCTTAAAAATATCCTATTGGATGCAAATCTTATTTGCAGTATTGTTAATTACAGCAAATAAGGAAAGAGGCATTCTATATAGTAAAATAAAAGGAAACACAACTACTAGGAAACTAAAACTAATCTGTATATTAAATATTTATTGAAAAATCAGGTACTATACATATAAAACACTATAATGTTTAATTTTACTCGGTACACATTTTCTTTTTCTATTACAGTATTTAAGCTTCTATTATAATAGACTACCGGTAGTTATTAACTGGTATATTTAGCTAGGAAAAGTATGTGATATACTGTACCAGTGAGACTCGCTACAGAAAGTCAGACTCCTTACAGAATCCAAGCATCCATTTATAACAATTGCTGAGGTACCATAAGTATATCATACAAGAGCCAAGACAAATATATACAACTGAGGAATAAACAATTTACATCAATAATAAACCTTGAACACAAACTACACTATCAGCAAATAAGGATGAGGAAAGCTGAAATTCAACATAAGACAAATTTACTATTGCCTATATGATGTACTAGTATTAATGTTCAAAATTAAAAAAACTAAAATCTTTTATAAGAACATTGTTTTATAATATTCTGAATTTAGCATCTTTATTTGTAAGATAAAATTTGAGTTGGTACAAATCTGTTATATGGTCTGGTAAATTAACTAGTATGACTGTGGACACAGTTGTGTAAACTGTGCCACTGAGAACTGGATACTAATGTGAGGTATCAACTTTATTCAAAAAGTAAACTGCAAACGTCTAACGAATATTATCAAATCCTGCATTGTATATCGGTAAAAATTGAAAATCAAATGCTGACTGTAATGAAATGTCCTTTTCTGGCAGGCTTCTCTGTAGCTTCCAGAGATTAAGCACTGATATAACCAAGCCTTGAAAATCACACCAAACCACCTGGCCTTCCAGGAGCCACGACCAGACACTAGTACTATTACAGATTTTTCCAGAACCAAGAAAAAACCCACCAGTAAGGTTAAGTGAAATAAAACAAGAGTCTGAAGTACAGTAATGTGGTATATGAACTCTGAAGCAAAACAAGGAAAATGATCATTGCCACAGGCTAAGAACCCAAACACCTCCAGATGGTGGCCCAGGACAGCCAAGGTCACAACTTGCCACCTACTTCACTTCAGAGTAGCCAGTACTGAATCCTAATGATCCACAGGAAAGAAGGAAATGGAGAGCTAATGAGTCCCACCAGAAAAGGGTGTTAAAATTATGCAGCCCAGAAACCTATGGACATGCAGCCCTGTGTGTGCTTATAGGTGCACACAGCTGTTTACCTCTGACCGGGTGGTAGCAGCATTAGGCCTGCACTCTTGTGATGATAGCTATGGGTCTCTGCCGCTCTAATCATTTGGGCCGATTTCAATGCACGTTGCGACCTGGCAGGTTGTAGCCGCTTTGCGTGTCTTTGCCTTGCTATCCACACATTACAGTCCGTCCCAGGGTTTGGTGTTCTCTGCCAGCTTCGTACCCTTATCCATCGGTTGGAGCTTTATCTTGCTTTAGCTTGTGCATCTCTGGGTTTTGGAAGTGGTGACAGCAGCAGCTGAAGCTGATCCTTCCAGGGATTTGATGACCACAGAGTCTACCATTCTCTTACAGCCCAATGTGTTTTTAGGTATCTATCTGGGGCTAACCTTTAGCAAGTTGGAAGCCCCTTACCTTTCTACCTCCCAATTATGGCCCCCCAAGAGGGATGTATGTAGGCTCTTACCCTAATACTTCCTCTCCAATAGAGAGGGAAGGGGGCTTATGGTACACAAGTTTCATATGAAGAGGTTCATGATTTACCCTGTCTCTATCTTTATGGTCTTGTTACATTTAAACCAAATGCCTTGCTTCATTCAGCTTGCTTGTTTTGACTTCCATCTCGGTATCTCCTTTGCCTCTTTCCATTTGTGCATTTCAGAGTCCCTGGTTTGTACCTCATTTTATGCTCCTACAAAAGTTTCTGTGGTCTCATCCCTCAACGCATTTTCGTTGGTGAGGTTTGCATCAGAACCTACTCGAGAACTATGTTTAGGATTCAAGCTCTTCCTTATTTCTGGGGGTGTTGCCCGGTGAGACTGGGCAACACCCCAGAAATAAGGAAAGAGCTCTATCTTTCTGGTGGTTTTCCTTCTTGGTCTGGATTGGTTTAGTATCCCCAGACTACTTTTGTCTCTATTGAGTTGACCAATTCTACACCTAAAGTCTCCAATAGGTTTTTATGACTTGTAAAGGCCTGGTGGGGCATGACAAGTTTGGAGCTATTAACCAGGCAGTTAGTACAGGGTGCCACTAAGGGCACCCACCAGAAATAGCCATTTCATTATAATCAGCGATGAATTATTTTTAATATAATTTAAATACTAAACCGCTCTTGGCAAATGGTGAAACCATCTTCTTCCCATTCCCTCTTTGTTACCAACATCTCGGGAAAATGTGCAGACCTGCTGATAGCAGCCCCTCCTCTCCAGGCATATGTAGACGGGCTGTTAATAAAAATATAACAAGTTTAATAAAAAATTTCCTCTCGTAACTGATCCTGGCATGTCTGACTTCATCCTTACTGTTTACTTCACAAATAAAGGAAAAGATAATATGATCAGATTTATAAGATTTCTTTTGTGGCTTTGGAGGTAAGATTCACAACCATCAGACACCCTTTAATGCTCTGCAAGTTGCTTACTAATTCCCTATGTTGCTAACAGCAAATTTCTAACTATATAAACCTCTCATTGCAAACTACAACATATGCAAACATAATAGGTTGCATAATTGCAAAAGTAGCAAGCTAAAAAAATCAGTATTATATGTTGGGGGACCTTCGACAAGCCACCGGCTTCCTGTCCTCGTCGAGGCCACTAGTGTTACTGGCCCTCGGGAAAATATTGGAAACTTCTCGAATCTATCCCACAACTGTATTCACAACTTGATTATATCAACGAAAGATCGATTGTGTCTGTACAACACAGGAACCTAAACCTGCAATAAAAATATTATGACATACAGGACTATTACTTACTTCTTAGCAAGAGTGACATTAACATCATATTCATCGGGTGACATAGACCGAACATCATTGTACACTCGGTCCTTAAACCCTGTAAAGTTGCAGTTACCACCAGTTAGAAGGATGTTTCTGAAAGTGGAAAATTACAAAAATAATTTATCAGTAAAACACAATGAAACACTACAAAGGAAAGAGCATTATATTTGTTAATAACTAAAGTGTATATACCGGAAAATAATTGAACTATAGTTTGGCACTTGATTAACTATAAAAGATTTTTATCATTGGTGTTTAGACGCTGTTGATAACGGCGAGCAACAGGGTGATAAACCTGCACAAAGATTTCTGCTGGAATAGTTACACAGGACTGATTGCTTATCGATGATTCTGGGGCTCAATGTCCCAGAGGCCCGGTCTCTGACAGGCCTCCTGGTTGGTGGTCTGATCAACAAGGATTGCTCAATTACATTCCTAAGTTTTGGAGTATAAATGGTGTCATACTGTGTTTGTCACATTATCCAACAGGTAAAAGTCTAGTAGTTATCATATAAACAGAAGGAATTGAGGGTTGTATTAACATGGGCTACCAGTATGAAAAATTAACATTTTTCCAATATATATGCCTCCTCATTTATATATGCATGATGAATAGCAGTGACCAATAACTGGAAAAATGTCCCTCAATACCCATAGAGAATGGTTCATTCTCAACAAAAATCAATGTCTTGTAGACAATTAGTTTAGTCATTTATTATGCACCCCATACCCATCTCATGGGCAAGGGTGGAAAGGGTTACAGAGGCACATAATGGGTTCAGGAACTGAACCCCAGTTTATATAGCTAAGTAACAATTTTGTGAAGGTAGTTACACAATTTTCTTTTTTTGCACAAATGCATATACTGTACCAATAATCTTTTTATATCACAAGTGATTCAAGAAGTGGACTACAACATACTGCCTATACAGGCAGTTTACGTCTGTAGGACGTCACTTACACAGTTACTAATCTTGCTCCATACCCATCCAACTGGATGGTAGCTTTACAGTCATGTGCATGCATTACCTGCAGTAAGCAAATTATTTATATTTGTCTAAGACTTCTGCAAGTACATCATTGTGAATGAAGTGCTTACATATTTCTTGAACACCATTGATGGAGGTATCTCTGAATTTCGTAATTTTTCTTTGCATTCACTTATATTATGACAAATGTGAATAGTTCTGCTGACAGAGTGCACATATAGTCAAGTTTACATGAGCAGGTGGTGCAAACTCCCACAGGTACTTGTAGCTGAGTACTTGTACCCAATAACTCTAGTACTTGTACCCAATTACTCTGGTACTTGTACCCAATTACTCTGGTACTTGTACCCAATTACTCTGTGCTTTATAGGCAACCACATCAGACTAGGTAAGCATTTTTTTGGAACAAAAATTATTTAGATGAAAATGTTATTGAAGTAGACAAATCTTATTACTGAAGAAGAACTCACCTGTAGAGATGAGGTCTAGTTTCCTCAGGGCATTTGTTTATAGAATAAACAATTGCTTCAGTGATGCCCATCTCCTGAATGCCAACATCACTTGGACGAAAGAGGAGCTCGGGAATACTGAAGCATTCATTGTTAAGACGAATTAACTGAAAATACATAAGCTCTTTATGTTCAATATTCACATTTGTTCTGTAAAATTATTGCAAAAGATAAATTTTCCAAAGGAAATTTACAATCTATTTGAAACTGTGAAGCTAAGAATGTTGTTATACCCTTCAAAATTCAAATAAAAATTGGCCATCACATGAAATTAAATACACAGTACAGGTGCTTATTTCTTAGCTAGTCCTCTCTGAGCCAGTCCCTTGTTTGCTCTTTTGAGCCAGTAGCCTCTGTATGGGTACACACACACACACACACACACACACACACACACACACACACACACACACACACACACACACACACACACACACACACACACACACACACACACACACTCACTCACACTCACAATCCACCTGTCAAGCTCTAATGACCTATTAACCCATCATGGTCAGTAACATTCCAAATACTGTATTCTGGTCACATAGGTCGGGATGGGATATAATGACAAATCTAACTAAAGTCACCATTGAGATATCACATTGTAATCGTAAAAAAAAAAGCATTAGACTCGACAAATCCCTTCCAAATATTTTTTTTTAATCAAACAGCCTAAATTGTCTCTCCATTAACTACCAGTTGACAATCGGCCGCGAACTCCCAACCACCACTAAGTGGCAGTACCATGACCAAAACAAGGTCAGAGGAACAATCATCATCACTTGTTGCCCAGACTATTCAATCATGTTTTGGAAAGACTGAACAAAAATAGAGAGCAGAAGCAAAAACTCTGGGGCCAACTCAGAAAGGTGTACAGTATTTCATTTCACCCAATGCCTTATTTCTGCCCTAAAGCATTTCAGTTGCATCCTTGAGCAAATTACAATGTAAAATATACCAAAATGAATACAAGGATCTTACCTAAGCAAATGGAAGAGAAGAAGGGTTATAGAGGTTAAAAGAAATTGGTACAAAGACAGCAGTCCAAAAAATCAGGAACTGAATTGATGTGAGGTGGCCAAGGGCAACACACACCCCCACTTGGGACACGAGATCCAGCAGGTAGCCGGCAGTGAAGGTACAGTTTGGCTTCCAGAACCTAGAGGCCATAATCTCTGAGCAGGACGTGTTAGAAAAGAAACCAATTAGAGTAGTATACTTTCTGAGGCCATGTATAACTGGAACCAGGAGAACCTTGTAATGAGTGATACATCTGCATCCACACAGAACAAAATACCAAACCCTGGATGGAGAAGAGGCACTGAATTCAAATTGGAAAGGTGGGTCCCCATCTGGCCTGGATGTCAAAGCCCAGGAAGTCTCGGTGAAATCATACAGCAACCTTCAACAAGTCCACCATCCAATTATAGCACCTTCTTTCCTGAGGAAAACAAGGGTTGGCCTCAGAAACCATTTCTGTTATTATATCTCGATCCAAATCAGATGCTCAAATTGGAGAAGATAACAAGAGAATGTACAACTCTTCTTGGAAAAGGAAGGAAGACAGGCTTCCAGTATGGAAAGGAAGGGGGAGCGCTGAAGACTCTGGCACAGCATCCTCACCATCAAACATATACTCAGGGAATAGCAAGAATGACAGAAAATCAGCCTCCAGAACTAACCTGACCAACACCTGCACAGATTCCAAAAGAAGACACCTAGGAGCCATTAGTACAGGAATCCAAGAAACTGACCAGTGAAAAGTGCCTGAAGGAGCAGAGGAGGGTGGCTAGTATAAAGGAGTGAGCAGCTCGTTTGCAATTCTCAGGAAGGGATTCACGAATTGTGTATGGAGAACTAACCACTACATATCCTCACAAAAGAAGAAAGATTCCACATAGATGGTGATAGGTAAATCATGGAATAAGCAATGCCTTTAAGTGCACAAACTTGCAAACAATCAGCTACATGATGCATGCCAGACTGAATCAAGAACTCGCATAGGATCCTACTTCACACAAGACAATGCATACAAACACTAAGGTAAAACAGACCCAGACAGAGGTAGAAGAATGTGACTATCAGGGTCGGAAAACACTAAAAACTGAACAAAGTATAATCAGATATCAAATCGACTACAACAGACACACTGACCCAATCAACAAAGCTTTAGGTCCAAAGTCAAGGAGGAAGCTAAGATGCTTGAACAGCATAAGATGGGGCAATACCCTAACCAAAATATGCCACTTAATGGATGGAAAAAAGTTGAGGGCAGTCTGCAGATAAATGAAACAAGACCAGGCTACCTGCTCAAGTGTAAACCCAAAGAATGGAGGACAACCATGGAATCACCATCAGAGATGACATGCCTGGGTTCCCACAGCAATGTGTGTGTGTGCAACTAGGTACCCCAGGCACCACCAAAGTAATAGAAGAAACCCTGAAACAAAAGTGCTAATGCAGAGCATGAGGCAGTGGGATGCAAACAACTGATTACACATAGTAAATCAAACACTAATACATGGAGATTCCCTACACATAGACAAGAATTTTAAGGATAAAACGATTCAAATTTATTTATGTCCCTGAATCATATACTCCCAGGTAACAAGTCACTGGGTTCTCTGATTCTGTTGTGATGGTGCTTCCACCTGGTCAATGTAGCAGCTGATTGGCCAGACAATATTAAAGTAATATTTGATGTTTGATTTAAATTGTAGTTTGTAGGTTTGTAGTCTAATTTTTGTTATGATAACAAATTGTTTTCTTGGAGGTGGCTTGATTTAGATTTGCCACTGTCTACCTTCTCCAATTAAGATACCAGAGTACTGAATCTGGAATGCTACTGATCTTGGAGGGTGAATAAGTCATTAGAGCCTGAACAGGTCACTGTGAACCCAAATAAGCCACTGGCTCAAGCAAACTGAGCAAGTGGTTTAGAGGTTATCTTGAGATGATTTCGGGGCTTTTTAGTGTCCCCGCGGCCCGGTCCTCGACCAGGCCTCCACCCCCAGGAAGCAGCCCGTGACAGCTGACTAACACCCAGGTACCTATTTTACTGTTAGGTAACAGGGGCATAGGGTGAAAGAAACTCTGCCCAGTGTTTCTCGCCGGCGCCTGGGATCGAACCCAGGACCACAGGATCACAAGTCCAGCGTGCTGTCCGCTCAGCCGACCGGCTCCCTATATGGTTTATATGGAGTTCATTTACATGTTCAGTGACTGAGGAGGCTTAGATCAGAAATTTTAATTACTGTGTTGACCAAACCACACACTAGAAAGTGAAGGAACGACAACGTTTCGGTCCATCCTGGACCATTCTCAAGTAGAGTCTTATCTCTTTAATTACTGTAATGGCATTTCATAGGGATTATACAAAAAATGGGTAAAAAGTACTACTGTAATTTATAAAATTAGCTCAGGGGCAGTGGCCAAATATGTTTGGCATCATCCTTTTTTTTGTGTGTATCTAAAATCCCAAGAACAATCACAATACTAGTGTACTATCCTTGATAATGTTCCAAGACCATTTACCTTGGTAAATATTTTGTAAAACTTCTGTTTTTTCTGAGTACAAATGTTTCAAGTCTACTGTTCTTCCCTGGGTATGAATGTTTCAAGTCTACTGTTCTTCCCTGGGTATGAATGTTTCAAGTCTAAGGTACTTCACTGATTAGAAATTGGGCTTCAATATTAATTTATCAGCTGCTTTCAGAGCTGGACCCAGGCATCAGGGCAAACATGGCTCCAAGGGCTCCAAGCAACAGCCTGGTGGACCAAACTCTCACAAGTCGAGCCTGGCCTCGGGCCGGGCTTGGGGAGTAGAAGAACTCCCAGAACCCCATCAACCAGGTATCAACCAGGTATCAACCAGGCATAAGGTTGCTTTCCCATTTCCTCTAAATAATCTATTAAAATGGTTCCAAAGTCTGGCACTAGGGGAGCCGGTCGGCCGAGTGGACAGCACGCTGGACTTGTGATCCTGTGGTCCCGGGTTCGATCCCGAGAAACAATGGGCAGAGTTTCTTTCACCCTATGCCCCTGTTACCTAGCAGTAAAATAGGTACCTGGGTGTTAGTCAGCTGTCACGGGCTGCTTCCTGGGGGTGGAGGCCTGGTCGAGGACCGGGCCGCGGGGACACTAAAGCCCAGAAATCATCTCAAGATAACCTCAAGATAACCAGGGGTCAAAATACCCCAATAACACTAGACTTTCGTTGCAGCACCATATACAAGTATTGAAAGTTTAAAGCAGATAGTGATTAGTATTTTCCAGAAATTGCATAGACTATGAAGTACAAAAGTCCTGTAAAGAGATACCTTAAGGTATCCCCACCTAGAATATCTAATTGTCAACCTACCTGTTCACCACCAGTGGATTTTCCTGTAGATTCCTCATGTGGTCTAACATAACCACGTTTGATTGTGGTAAAATCTGGCAAGACATAGTCTCGTAAAATTGTATTCTCCTGTTTACCTTTTCTGGCTATTGCCATATCTGCATTAAAATCAAGAGACACAAAACATGCATCTTCCTTCACCTGGTTAATCACATACGTCTCGTCCATAACATTGAGCTGCCTGATATGATAAAAAGGAAATTTATTAGTCATCAACTTAAGCTTAACTTACCATTACAGAACAGTCAACTTTTGATTTTAGGCTGGTCATAATTTACACAGATTAAGTGAGCAGGGAATAAATTTAAATCCATTAACAAGTGTTGAATGGTTTCCTACACTCTGGGGACAGTGTGGGGATTTTTTATAAGTCTTAGGCTTATCAAAGTCCCCCTAGGACTATTGATCTTCTCCAGTATGTAATCCACAACAGTTGCCTAACTCTCGGGTACCTATATACTGCTAGGTAAACAGTGGCATTAGATGAAAGGAAAAGTTGCCCAAATGCTTCTGTCCTGTTGTGGCAATTGAAACCAGAACCTCTCAACTTTGTTCTGACTGTGATGACCACTGCATTGAATGTAATTCACATGTAATTCCCCCATATGTCAACTTTATGTTGAAAATTCAAATTTTATACAGTGAAAGGCTGCAGCAAGAGGAAAACTCAACATACAGCTGCCAAGATGTTATATTATAGAGAAGGAGCTGAGTATAGACAGCTTTATTATGCTGATTCAGCTGCTTATCAGCCAGCCCCATACTCCATAGCCTGCATGTAGAAAAACTGCTACTATTTATACGGAATATAATATTCCATATAAATCATTTAATACAAGTCAAATAATATTGAATAGGCACTATTCATATTCTGTGTTTAAGGTTGCCCAGTCTTCACACATCAGGTCCTGCTCTAATCCTTCTTAATTAATTAATCATAAAAATCTAGAAATTGCATTTTCCTTTGACCTAACATACCAAATTGTTTGCTATTTGTTTGTTTCTAGTTATCTTGCATATTTGAACATGTAAAACAAATATACTGTATTTGGAAATATTCTTACTTTTTGTTTTATGCTAAGCTTTAGGCACCAAAGCTTTGTATTTTCCCACAGCAGTTGACTACTAAAATGTCACCATCTTACCTATAAGATATGAGTTCTTTTAAGTGATTAGTGAGCACTTTTCCTCCAATGTCAACCCTCAAGATGGCATCCTTCTGTTTCTTGCCCTGAATATATGGCACAATGTGTGTAAAGCTAAACCCCGACTCCACCAACAAGCAGCACAGTTCCCGCGGTCGGTCACGATGGTATTTGTGGACAGACAGGTCACCACCTGCAGGTTAAAAAGATAATGAAAAATTGTCTGAGGAGAGAATGCAGTAGAGATACTGTATAAACTTTGATCAAAATTTTTACATTTCATCCTTACCATAATAGTAGTAATAATAATAATAATAATAATAATAATTTATTCACAAGAAGGTACAATGGGTTTGTGAGATTACATAATATCGGTATTTTTACATTCTTGGAAAGCCACTAGCACGTATAGCGTTTCAGGCAGATTACCATTCTCATTATCCCTTTTATAAGGTAAGGAGGTAATAGCCAGGGCCAGAGAGAAGAAAATACTGTAGAAAGAGAAGCTGACAGATAGTAAGGAACTATTTGTGCTAATGCTCTGAGCTACACTAGCAATGTAGTACTGCTTCTGTACTGCATTACAACCAATGACTGACAACAGCAGTTGAACACATCATAAGAAACACATGACAAAGCACATTATCATTCTCCTTCACAATTTTAATTGTATTATTTATGTAAAATTTGCATTTAATGAGTGATCATTCACTTTTGCAAGACACTTCACCTAAATGGATCAAAGATAGTAATGATAAGTAATCTCATATATTGCTCAGAGCTGCAGTTAACAAATGGACACTTTTCTTCCAAGTGATGTACAAAAACTTGAAAGATTTTGCTTCCATCCCAACAAACACACCAGTTTGTCATAAATTATCTTTATGGAAGGTAGGTCAAGGAAGGAGGGGGCTGACCACAGGTGGTGGAGGGAGGCATTGACCACAGGTGGCAGAGGGAGGCATTGACCACATGTGGAGAAGGGAATGCATTGATGTCTTTACAATATCCAGCTTTATTAAATTACTATAAATATGACTAATCAACAATACTGACCATTAACAGAAACACATACCATTAATTCTGAGAAGGGCATCTACATCATATTCTTCAAAGAATATCTCACTCAGTGCTTCTTGAGTACTAGTAAAGTTGAAGTATGGCTCAGTGATGATCATTGTGGTATTGGAGTGATTCACATTGAACACATCTTTTCCGAACATGTAATCCCATATTGTTTTTTGAATGTCCCAGTTAACCAAATAACCCTAAGAGGAAGAAACAGACCACAATGTATAATCTTATAATAAAATAAATGAAGAAATCCTATAATACTGTACCTTGATTGATTTATTAAGTTATTTCTTACCACAGATATGGTAAGAAATAACATTTATATAATATAAAGAGGCATTTATATAATAATGCCTCTTCTTTTGATTCATACCATAACTTGTATAGCATACAGAATATAACTGTTTTTAATCCACCAAAAAATATCAATAACTTTAAGTGTCTGGAGACTGGCAACTATACACCCTACCTAACTTATGGTCATGCTGACAAAGTTGGCAGACGAATTATGCCATTAACAATCAAAGAAATAGTTAACACATTCTTAGGTTATGCTGGAAGTGGTAGTGTAACGATTCTATTGTTACATAAAGTATGGTGACAATAAACACAGACACTAAAAGAATATATATATATATTTTTTTAGTCGAGTATACAGAAGTATGCAGGTGATACCTTGGCGAGCAATGGTGTGAGTTGAGCGCACTGAGAGTCGGTAAAGTATCTCGCAAGTGTCTGTTCTAGACCACACTTGAAAGTAGACTAGTTAATGTTTGCTATTCTGCTGCTTATATGCTCAGGCAACACCTCACCGTGTTGCTCGGGCAACACCTCACCATGTTGCTCGGGCAACACCTCACCTCATTCATTTCCAAAGGTTGATAGGAATATTAACAATGCATTTGGAGCGAGTATATTATTGGGATAATCTACTCGCTACAGAAGTATACCTGGCCATCTAGAATGCTCAAAGAGAATGCCTCAAAGGAAAGAAGGTTTTAGAATGACATATGACTTCCCTTAAACTTGTCAATTAAATACCCTCACGCTAGTAACTTACATGACCATACAGGAATACTATAGGATCTTTAACACAAGTAGACTGAAGTAAAGTATCATCTTGGCACACTTGGTGCAAAAGCCACCCTTTAAATTGATGATATGACTAGCTCAGAAGGTACTATAAGTGTATGTGAATGATGACTGGCAACCTATTCCTATATCCAACATATCCACAATCCTTAGGTTAGGTAGATTTAATATTCAGAAGATTTTTAAAATATCCATCAAAAACATTGAAAATTTTCCAACATGGCACACTTTTCAAAACAAAGAAGAACATATCCGTATGTTCTATGGATATGTTCTACATTACACTAAAATCATACTCATTTAAATAGCTCACTTTCTGAAAAGGAAGAATGTAGAAGAGTCCCGAGGCATCTCGACAGTCCTCCACTTGGTCGGCTATAAAAGGACGTCGCCTCTCACTCTTGGCCTTCATGATTGCATTTGGCATTATTCTGTTGTGGAATAACAAAAACTGATATTATGCAAAAAAAAAAAAAAAAAAAAAAAAAAAAAAAAAAAAAAAAAAAAAAAATTGGCGTACAGTATTATGATGGTTAAAATATTAAAAGGAAAGGTGGGTATAATAAAAATATCATGCAGTATACTGTGTATGTTTAAACTGGTGAAAAGTCTTTTAAACTGGAGTGACATATCAACCTAACTGACCACTGGTGCAAAATTGGACTGGGCCAAAACTTCAGGCACTGATACATTTTTATCATAATCTCGGTACAATTGTTATTGTAACAGGCTTGCCTTTAGTATGAGATTTATATATATAAACTTCTCTTTCAATTTATACCATTGATTTTCCACACAGTAATCATCTGGTATTCAATTTACAAACAGCAAAAAGATAGCTTAAATGGCTGCAGACTGGCAACAGTACCCAAATATTACTTATTTGATTAATTGATAATAGTTAAATTACATTGCAGCATCATAAAAATTAAAGCATTTCACCATATTAAGTAAATTTTAAAACCAGTTTATTGGATTTATTAAAACCAGGACTGCAGTTAGCCATATGACTAGTAATGAAGAGTAATCTGTGGTGACTAGACACTTGCAAGTATAATTCTGTTCAATATATGCCTGTATACATACATAAAATAGGCTTTCCTTATTCCAAGATATTCTCATTGATGAGAAGCAGTTAGTCTAGTGTTAGTTTTGTGAAATTACCTACTAATATACTATAGTATTGGAAGCAGTAAGTTCATACATAGCCTGTTATTTTATTTTATTTTATTTAAATATACAAGAGTTCTTACATTCTTGTAAAGCCACTAGAACGAGTAGCATTTCGGGCAAGTCCTTAATCCTAATATTCCCCAGAATATGATCCGCCAAATCGTTTAACAACCAGGTACCCATTATACTGTTGGGTAAACAGTGGCTGCAGTTAAGGATTGGCGGCCAGTAAATCCTTCCCGGTCAGGATATGAACCCAGGCCAAAGCGCTCGCGAAGCGACAGGTGAGTGCTTTACCACTGTGCCACGGGGACTGTTGAGGTGTCCCAAGCCTAGGGTAAAGTTATATCCATTTGCTCACCCATCCAGTTACTGACAAAGACTCATTGGTGACTGTACCTGGGTTCATTTTGATTTGAAAATCCTCCTTTAATGGTGTATCCTCCATTATCAAGAATAAAAACATTTGCCATTTTTCCTGATAAACTTTCTAATGGAAATAATTTGCAACCTTTACGTGACGAGAGGTCAAACTTCAGAAAATGTTTCTTTACGTTAGACTTGACATAAGCTCTTCTTTATGATACATTCAGTTAACGTGAAAGTTTTGTATTCCCAATGGCTACAGTAGTGAGCACTTGGCCACGCTGAACTTCTTGTTGGTTGAGGAGCAACGACGGTCCAGGGATCAGATGCGCCAGTTGATTACTTGATCTTATTCTTGATGGTAGGTGCAGTTTGCAAGAAGGGTTTATCCTCCCGATGACTGCACCTGTACAAATGTTGGGAGACGCGTTTATGCTGAGAATGATAGAGTTTCAAAAGTGGCACACTGATGTGATCGGTTATGGTTCGCGAAGCTGATGTAATCGGTTGTAGTTCGTGACACTGATGTGATCGGTTGTAGTGCGTGACACTGATGCGATCGGTTGTAGCTCGTTTGGTTTGGAGTTGGCGTTTAAGGCGTATCAACTGATGGAGGGTTATTAACTCAGTCACTAACTGACCAGCAAGTATACATTATAATTATATTTACCTGATAACTTAGTTTTCATCTACGTCCTCCTGTTCGTGTACTACTCCCTTAAATAGTCCGTCTTTGTCTGACCTGTCTGCTCCCATGAGTATTTTGTGTGTGTGGTAATCATGTCTCCTGTTTCCTCTCTCTTCCAACGACGTCAGGTTTAACTTTTTTAGTTTTTTCTCGTAGCTCAAGGACTAATCTGATGGTATACCTCTCAACTTTCTTTAGCTTTGGTTTGTGTTTTATGAGATAAGGACTCCATGATGATGCATATTCTAGAATTGGGATATGTCTGCTCCCCCTGCATATCCTTCGCCACAGTCCCCGTGGTGAAGTGGTAAGACATTCGTCTGGCGTTTCGCGAGTGCTTTGGCCTGGGTTGGGTTCGTATTCTGGCTGGGGAGGATTTATTGGGCGCCAATCTTTAACTGTAGCCTCTGTTTACCCAACAGCAAAATAGGTACCTGGTTGTTAAATGATTTGGTGGGTCGTATTCAAGAGAGCATTAAGATTAAGTACTTGCCCGAAACGCTATGCGTGCTAGTTGCTGAACAAGAATGTAAGAACTCTTGTGTGTATATATATATATATATATATATATATATATATATATATATATATATATATATATATATATATATATATATATATATATATAGTCGTACCTAGTAGCCAGAATGCACTTCTCGGCCTACTATGCAAGGCCCGAGTTGCCTAATAAGCCAAGTTTTCCTGAATTAATATATTTTCTCTAATTTTTTTCTTATGAGATGATAAAACTACCCATTTCATTACGTATGAGGTCAATTTTTTTTATTGGAGTTAAAATTAACATAGATATATGACGAAACCTAACCAACCCTACCTAACCTAACCTAACCTATGTTTATGGGTTAGGTTAGGTTAGGTAGCCGAAAAAGTTAAGTTAGGTTAGGTTAGGTTAGGTTAGGTAGGTTAGGTAGTCGAAAAACAATTAATTCATGAAAACTTGGCTTATTAGGCAAATCGGGTCTTGCATAGTAGGCACAGAAGTGCGTTCCTGCTACTAGGTACGACATTATATATATATATATATATATATATATATATATATATATATATATATATATATATATATATATGTCGTACCTAGTAGCAGGAACGCACTTCTGTGCCTACTATGCAAGACCCGATTTGCCTAATAAGCCAAGTTTTCATGAATTAATTGTTTTTCGACTACCTAACCTACCTAACCTAACCTAACCTAACCTAACTTAACTTAACTTTTTCGGCTACCTAACCTAACCTAACCCATAAACATAGGTTAGGTTAGGTTAGGTAGGGTTGGTTAGGTTTCGTCATATATCTATGTTAATTTTAACTCCAATAAAAAAAAATTGACCTCATACGTAATGAAATGGGTAGTTTTATCATCTCATAAGAAAAAAATTAGAGAAAATATATTAATTCAGGAAAACTTGGCTTATTAGGCAACTCGGGCCTTGCATAGTAGGCCGAGAAGTGCATTCTGGCTACTAGGTACGACTATATATATATATAATATATATATATATATATATATATATATATATATATATATATATATATATATATATATATATATATATTAGTATAATTTGGTAGCAGTCTTTCCTGTAGACATATATTATTAAATATGACCGAAAAAGTAAGATTAATAATTCTAACACGAATTTTCTCAATCTTTCATACATTTCTTTTCACTGTTGGTGGTAATTCAAAAATCAATTCTCCAAAATTCATTTTTATTTCTAGTCTGACGCGACACTTGAGCACGTTTCGTAAAACTTATTACATTTTCAAAGACTTTAGTTTAAACATACACAACTGAATAGAACTTACACATCTCCGATTTGTTTATATCTACATTTGAGTGAGGTGGATGGGGTGAGGTGGTATTTAATAAGGTATTAATTTCATCAACACAAGACAGAACATGAAACAATGGGTATTGAATAGAAGTGATTGTAGAAAGCCTATTGGTCCATATTTCTTGATGCTTCTATATTGGAGCGGAGTCTTGAGGTGGGTAGAATATAGTTGTGCATTAATTGGCTGTTGATTGCTGGTGTTGACTTCTTGATGTGTAGTGCCTCGCAAACGTCAAGCCGCCTGCTATCGCTGTATCTATCGATGATTTCTGTGTTGTTTACTAGGATTTCTCTGGCGATGGTTTGGTTGTGGGAAGAGATTATATGTTCCTTAATGGAGCCCTGTTGCTTATGCATCGTTAAACGCCTAGAAAGAGATGTTGTTGTCTTGCCTATATACTGGGTTTTTTGGAGCTTACAGTCCCCAAGAGGGCATTTGAAGGCATAGACGACGTTGGTCTCTTTTAAAGTGTTCTGTTTTGTGTCTGGAGAGTTTCTCATGAGTAGGCTGGCCGTTTTTCTGGTTTTATAGTAAATCGTCAGTTGTATCCTCTGATTTTTGTCTGTAGGGATAACGTTTCTATTAACAATATCTTTCAGGACCCTTTCCTCCGTTTTATGAGCTGTGGAAAAGAAGTTCCTGTAAAATAGTCTAATAGGGGGTATAGGTGTTGTGTTGGTTGTCTCTTCAGAGGTTGCATGGCGTTTCACTTTCCTTCTTATGATGTCTTCGACGAAACCATTGGAGAAGCCGTTGTTGACTAGGACCTGCCTTACCCTACAGAGTTCTTCGTCGACTTGCTTCCATTCTGAGCTGTGGCTGAGAGCACGGTCGACATATGCGTTAACAACACTCCTTTTGTACCTATCTGGGCAGTCGCTTTTGGCATTTAGGCACATTCCTATGTTCGTTTCCTTAGTGTAGACTGCAGTGTGGAAACCTCCGCTCTTTTGCATGACTGTTACATCTAGAAAGGGCAGCTTCCCATCCTTTTCCATCTCGTAAGTGAAACGCAGCACGGAACTCCGCTCAAATGCCTCCTTCAGCTCCTGCAGATGTCTGACATCTGGTACCTGTGTAAAAATGTCGTCAACATACCTGCAGTATATGGCCGGTTTCAAGTTCATGTCGACTAAGACTTTTTGCTCGATGGTACCCATGTAGAAGTTTGCTGATACATGTGCCCATCCGGGCTCAAGAAGGGTGCCTCTTTAGTACATGCTTGGAGTAGTTTCCTTAGGATATTTTCTGGTATGTCAAGAGGAGTACAGGCTGGATCACGATACACTCTGTCGGCTATCATCCCGATTGTCTCGTCCACTGGTACGTTGGGTTGGTACACAGGCCTCCACCCCCAGGAAGCAGCCCGTGATAGCTGACTAACTCCCAGGTACCTATTTTACTGCTAGGTAACAGGGGCATAGGGTGAAAGAAACACTGCCCATTGTTTCTCGCCGGCGCCCGGGATTGAACCCGGGACCACGGGATCACAAGTCCAGCGTGCTGTTCGCTCGGCCGATCGGCTCCCTTTCCGGGCGTGGTAATCTAGTAACCAGTGATCCAAATTCAGCTTAGCCCTGCATATTTTACATGAAGTTGTAACAGCACGCATTGAACATAATACATTTTATTCATATTTTGAATGCTTTTACCATAGTTTTTCAAGGGCAATGATGCATTGGGCTGTTAGTATTATTTTATTATTTATATACTGCAAACTACTACTGAATTATTGCTCAGAATGAATGTACGCAGAATGTACTATTGTACATCTAGTATTGGGACCCCTGTGCAAGAGAGATGGAACTTTCACAGATGACATCAATGACATGAGTGAAATTAACCTCTGGACTTTGAAGTAGCCATAGACAGTTCGTGCACTCTGTGCCAGGCCATGATTTCTGGAATTCCATATTCATCAAGAATGGTAACACATTATGACCTCTTGTGGTATTCAAAAGAACACCATAAGAGGTCATAATGATAAACACTTCCAAAGGATACCTAATCAACCAGGTTGTGATTTGTATGTCAGGCTGCAAGCAGCTGCATCTAACAGTCTGGTTGATCAGACCACCAACCAAGAGTCCTGTTCGGAGACCAAGCCCGCAAGGACTTTAATCCTGGGAACCAACACACTGTAGCCGTAAGACAAGATACATGGGTATCTTGCATATACCCATGTATAATAAATACAAATACACATGTATTTGTTACTAATATGCACACTATTATATTCTTTGAACACTAAAATGTATTATTTGTACAGTTATTACAATGTATATACACATTATGTGTGTATACCTACATTTTAATGCAATATTATGAACCACTAAGCAGTTCCAGTGGATGATATTCTTTTAATGTAGATACAACCACAGCATAGTCCCACATGCTCATTTGCTGCTGGCACATGACGAAGCAAAGTGCCACCTGATGCACTACAGCACTTGCCAAAACAGTGCTCTTATGAGAAACCTGGTCAATAAATCCTGAATATGAATAATTTTTCACATGTTCTTTTTCTAAAGGAGCATGAGGTCCCATTACTGATGCATAGGTGCACTAACCTGTGGCTGTGTCTCTTACTGTAAATGTCATAGCCAGCATTGGATTCACTGATATCTGAACCTTGTACAAAGTCTTTAACACTGTCAGGATCATCTATATAACACGATCATTGTTAAATTAAGTTATTTCGATGTTATTAAGTGATGCTGTAGGCACAAGCTTCATGGTGGTGTTGTGAACTACCACTGTATGCACCATTCATGGTCTCTTTCACTACTGAGCTCCTCACAGCCAGGAGTGCCCATGATTTTTCCCCAAGATGGCATCTGGTTACTTGTGGTGTGAGGAAGCAGATGCAAGCCCCTCTACCTGCTGGAGTTTAAAATCTTAGGCTATACATAAAATTGGTCCTTGTTGATGTATACTGCTGATGAAATGACCTTGGTTGATTAGTGAGGTTAAATATTCCTCATAATACATAGTCTCATGAAATATAGTATAATTAAAATTGAGCCTATGGAGCCCATAGAGTGGTATGAGATTAGTGCTTCATTTAATTAAAATACTGTAGTTGATTTATAGGAACATTTGTCATCCTTTATCATTGTGCTAAACTAAACCCTGACTGCCCCAAAACTTTTAACAGGAGGAGGGGCCAATAACAGAGGCAATCCATATTCGTGTGTGTGTCTCCATGGTGACCGCAAGCGTAATGAACGCAAAGCGAATCTCCAAAAATTTAAGGATGGTGGAGTGAAGTTCCTTATATGCACTGATGTAGCTGCTCGAGGAATTGGTAAGTTCTTTTCGTTGCATGCATTGGTTTTCTCTTGGGGAAATTCTCTATATTTTAAAAGATGCCTGAGGATATGAGGATATTGTTAAAACATCCAAATGTTTGCTGCAGATGTTGGAGGCCTGCCATTTATAGTCAATGTGACACTGCCAGATGAGAAGAGCAACTATGTTCATTGTATTGGGCGTGTGGGTAGAGCAGAGAGAATGGGTCTAGCTATCTCCCTTGTTGCTGCTGTGCTAGAGAAGGTTAGAGTTTTAAACCAATATTTGCATTCTTTATTAACTGGTAATAGCCCCTGACTTGACATTATTTTACATTGGCTTCCGCTGTCCTTATTTTCATTATTGTAAAGATGAATTCATTAAACCTAAGTAACCTGTGTAAAGTCTCACATGTAGACTTTTGTTGTAGCTTGGTTAATATTTAAAGAGGAAAGAATGATAATGTAATTTATGGTATGTTGCAGTTTTTTGCAACATTGAATACTTTTCCATTGGATAACTCTCTTATGTGCACACTCCAATAAACTCCTTCATATGTGACAGTTGTATGAAAGGAACAGGAAAATCTGAAGTCTCCTTACAATAGTGTCAATCTAGAAATGACCTAAGTTTAATTGCAGGATGAGAGCTATGCTCATGGTGTCCAGTCATCCTAGTACTTTGAAGCTCTGAAACTACTGATGGTTTTGGCATCCACCACCACCTAACATGTTCCAACCATCTACCACAGTTTGCAAAAGAGAACTTCTAATATTTTTTCCATCACCTTTGTTTTCTTAGCTTAAGTCTGTGAGCTCGTGTTCTTGAAGTTGTATGGCAGGTTTCAAGAATTCCTCTGTCAATTTTATTGATTCCTGTTACAATTTTGTAGGTAGTGACCATATCACCTCTTTTCTGTCTTCTAGCTTTGGTATATTTAACCTATACCCTGATGTAAATCAATGGGCCACAGAAAATATGGTATTTAATGAAGATAAGTTCCAACTTTTTCGCTATGGAAAATAAAAAATATCAAAACGGAAACCATGTACAAAATGCAGTCAAATCATACCATAGAACATAAAAGGAATATAAAGAATTGGGGAGTAATCATGTCAGAAGATCTTACTTATAAAGAACACAATAAAGTAGCAGTCACAATTGCAAGAAAAATGACAGAACCTTTCAAACAAGAGATGCTGTACCAATGATGATACTTTTCTAGGTGCTAGTGCTTTCTAGAGTGGAATACTGTTGCACAATAACAGCCCCATTTAAAGCTGGAAAATTGCTGACCTGGAGAGCATGCAGAGATCCTTCACTGCCAGAATTCTCTCGATAAACCATCTAAATTACAGACTGACTAAAAATGCCTAAATCTGTATTCTCTAGGGCACAGGCAGAAAAGATACATACTAATTTATACATGGAAAATATTAGAGCTGATTCCAGATCTGCACACAGAAATATCACACGAGACCAGAAGGCATGGCTGGATGTGCAGAATACCCCCATTGAAAAGCAGATGTGCAATAAGTATTCTGAGAGAGAACTCTATCAACATCAGAGGTCCGAGACTGTTCAACACTCTTCCACTACACATAAGGGGTTTAATGGGCCTACCCCTCGCAGTGTTCAAGAAAGAACTAGATAAACACCCCCAAAGGATCCCTGATCAACCAGGCTTTGATTCGTATGTCAGGCTGCGAGCAGCCGTATCCAACAGCTGGGACACGGACTGGTTGACCAGTCCAGCAACCAGGAGGCCTGGTTGGGGACCGGGCCACGGGGAACCTTGAACCCCAGTAGCCAATTAATTGGTAGCCTCTCCTAGTAGTTCTTGGTTCTCAGTTCTGGAAGCCATTTAGCTGCATGTCTTTACATTTTTTCCAGTTAATTGCTGTACTTTTCAAGATGAGCTCAATGCTACTGCATAATTCAATTTGGTCTCCCGAAGGTCGTGAACAAGTTCTTTAATATTTGTCATGCATGTATTTATAAGTGAATCTGAAATTGGAAATTGCAGAACATGCTCCTCACACAATGTTCTTTGTGATCCTGTTGTCTTATAACCATTCCCTAATCAGACTTCGGAAGAACATCCTTGAAATAACACGTTCCTTGACATTCCTGATAAGTCTTTCACGAGGTTCAGTATTAAAGGCCAAGGGATAAATTTAAAAATAGAGTATAAATTTTGTATATTCTTCTCTTGTTTCAGGTGTGGTACCATGGAGAGTGGTGTTCAACTCGTGGGCGTAACTGTTTTAACACGCGGTTGACAACGGAAGGTGGTTGTTGCGTTTGGTACAACGAACCACAGGTTAGTCCTCGAGATTTTTTTGTCGTATTTATCTTTCACATTTGATATATATAGAACATCATTGCCTACTTAAAGATTTGAAAGGCTCTAGTCTAAAACTGATACAGTATTAAAAAAAAATATTAGAGCCTAAAAGTGATAAATTCTGATTAGGAAGTAAAGTACTTGTATGTCTCTGGCACTTCCCCTTAGTGATGCAAGTGCACCAGGTGATTAACAGCTTTTGTAATTTGAATGTGTTTTTTCCTCCTATTTTGATTCTCTTCTTTTTTTTCTTCTTTTTTCCTCACTTTAACTCCCAGTGTATGTGTCCCCCTATTCCTAAAATATGTATTAACAGTAAATAACTTCTTCATGGCACAAATTCTTCAATCTACATACTTCTGCAGCACCAATAATGCCAATTACATTATCTCAGAGGCCTCTTTACTGTATTTCAAATCACTCCTTACAGATATTCTGTAGCTTCTGGGTGTCATACTGATCTTATTCTTCAAGCTATCTGAATAAACTTTGGCTTCTCTCTCTGCAGTGTAAACGGCACCCTTTACCTTTTCAAACATAAATTTAATTACATGTGCCTAGGACGCAAAATTACTGTAGGTGTGAATTGGTAATAAAATGCCATATTTTAGATTTAGGAACCATTTATTGCTTTGAAATTGAAATAAGTTTATTGAGGTAAAATACACACAAAGGGATGAGGTAGCTCAAGCTATTCTCACCCCGTTCAGTACATCGTGTTAATACATACATACACACATCACAAGCAATAAACGTATTACCGAACATTCTGAGAGATAAACATATACATTTCCTCCTCTACACAAGTAATTTATTGCTTTAGAAAAGCCAGAATAAAGAATTAATGATTGGAAGAAATTGGCAAGATTAGGCAGTGTTTGTTCATATGAGTATAGTAGGGTAGTGACAGATGTATACAATGGAAAAATACCAGTATAATATTACCTTTCAAGAGCCTCGGTCCATCACTACATTGAGAATCACATTTTACACTGAAGTGCATTCAAAATATTTTGTTTATAATGTGAATTAAATGTTAGGCTGTGACTGACACCCTTGTTATTTCACTAGTGATCTTTTTCTTATCTGAACCACTAGTACCTAGCTGATATTGAAGAGCACTTGGGAGTGACCATCCAGCAGGTCGATCAAGAAATGAAAGTTCCAGTTGATGAATTTGATGGCAAAGTGATTTATGGTGAAAAGAGAGCCAATGTTGGTAAGTTTTCTTAATAGTGTTTAAAATTTATGTGCAGTACACTATTTGTTCTTATTCTGTATGGAGAATGTTGTCACGACACACTATACTCCCAGTTGTTCCATGTTCTTTTCTGCATGCACTTTTGTAGCTCTTGCTGCTCGTTTTTCACACTGATGTGCTTACTGTCACAGTGCTCAACCATTCCTGTCATTGGTGTTTGTTATTACAAGCATGCTTTTAATTACTGTGGCTACAGAAGTGGCACAATTTTGTGCCAAAGTTTAAAGTGCTCAAGTTATTAATGCTTGAAAATGCCTTCTTGTGATAAGGTTCTACATGATGCTGCTCCCTAGGTGTTAGTTCTTTAGTAGAACAAGGGATGAAATTAGCAAATAAATGATTATGCATTTCTATCTTTATTGGAACTAGAAGGTTTATTCAAGGGTAAACATCACTAAAGCAGTACAGCTACATGCTATTTATTTGGAAGGAAAATATGTACCTATATTTAAGTATTATTGCTACACATATTAACTGTAAAACAGAACCAGGCCTTTTTTATAAATTTATTAAGAGCAAGCTGCATTTAAAAGATTAAATCCAGAGATTGAAAATAGGGAACAAATACAGAGGGAATGAAAAAAAAAGTATGAAACATTAAATGAACAGTTCCAATATGTGTGTACTCGCCTAGTTGTGCTTGTGGGGGGTTGAGCTCTGGCTCTTTGGTCCCGCCTCTTAACTGTCAGTCAACTGGTGTACAGATTCCTGAGCCTACTGGGCTCTATCATATCTACATTTGAACCTGTGTATGGAGTCTGCCTCCACCACATCACTGCCTAATGCATTACATCTGTTAACTACTGACGCATGGTGATCGCACCTCAGTTTACCAGTGTCTCCTGCCTAGTAACTATCGCGCCTGAATTCTTTATAAAGCATTACATTTGTTTTGGGATTTTTGGCTATTTGAACATAAAATTTGTTATTATATATCTTGCCATGAGTCCCAAGAAAGCCAGTGGTAAGGTTCAAGCCAAGAAAACACATGTGAGAATGACCATAGAGGAAAAACAAGAGAGCATTCATAAACGTCAAAACGGTGCACAGGTTGTTGAACTAGCTAGGCAGTACAACAAATCTATGTCAACAATATGCACTGTACTTGCTAAGAAAAAGGACATTATGAGCGTTAAAGTGGCAAAAGGCATATCAACAATCCCGAAACAAAGAACACAAACACTTGAGGATGTTGAAAAGTTTTTATTAATTTGGATACACAACAAAGAGTTAGCAGGTGATAGCATTTCAGAGGCCATCATTTGTGAGAAACCAAGGCATTTGCATGAAGACCTTTTAAAGAAAACCCCTGGAACGAGGGGGAAAAAGATGAATCAAGTTTGAAAATGTGAAAAGTTTGTGTGACAATAGAGCCTCGTGGAAAACTTTTGCTGTGGTCATTACCTGGTGGAATGCACCCAGGATGGAGTATTAGGGCTATACATCTTTTAAATCATAAAAGTAATAAACATTTCCCATCAACCTTACAAACCATATTAACCTATTTTCATGTATTTCCCCCATGTGCATTTTAACAAAGTTACTAAATTGCCTTTATCATTCTGTAAAATTTCAATTACAGTATACTGTATATAATTTTGTTAGTATAAATGGACTGAATATTCTGAAATCACTATTAATTTTACAATTTCAGATTCAAAGGTGGTCTGGACACCCAATTTGGTCAGACAGGTGAAGAGAGCATTTAGGATAGTTCGAAGAGATGAAGATGGTCACAATTGTGTTTGAAGAGGCAAACGCCCCCCTTTGCTCCTGACATTATGTTCAGCCTATTGACCCCTGCACACCTAACACAAGGTAGGTTGAAAACTCCTCCTTCATGTCATTGGTTCATTAGCCAGAAACTTAGGGCCCATGCAGGAATATCCCTAAAAAAAAAAAAGTGGCCCCAACAATGCATCCTCCAAGTCTGGAGGATGAGCAGGAGCATTGTCGAGAAGCAGGCCCTTTAGTGTCAAACTTTTCTCTTGCAGATATTTTTTGATGGCAGGGCAAACCACTCTACATCACAGTTTTTCTGCACGTTATATATTTTTTAAAACTCTTGGATTTTCGGAATGATACACGAGCAAGGGTTTAATTTTCAAATCGCCACACAGCACAAGAGTTAGCCTATCCTGACACAAGTTAGCCCAAGTTAGCTTGTGTCCGGGCAGTGACGTCTCCTCTTGGGTAATGTATGTCCTCTTCGGCAATTTTTTCCAGAATAGCCATGTCTCCTCACAATTAAACACTTGTTGTGGAATATATCCATCAATACAGTATCTACAAAATCTTTAAAATCACGAACAAATCTTTCAGCCCCTACTTTGTCTGAGCTGGCACCCTCACCATGCCTCACAACACTATGAATACCACGTCTTTTTTCAAAATTTCTCAAACCATCCCCTACTCACCTTAAACTCTTTCGTATCTGCAAAACTCGTTCTAGGGGTTTTCTTTATAAGATCTTGCATGAAGATTTCATTGTTGACCAAACCACACACTGGAAATTGAATAGACGACGACATTTCGATCCGTCCTGGACCATTATAAAGTCGATTGTGATGAGATGAGGGAAGCAAGAGCATTAAGTAGGCAAGAGAGAGAGGTGAGGAGATGGCAAGTATGTACGTATGTACATGAATAAAACATGTACATACTTATACATAACGTGTGTAAATAGTGTAATAAACACAATAACAGTATTTTGGGAGGAGGAATGTTGGCGAGTAATGTGTTGGAGGAGGGAGGGAGGACTGGCAGGGTGTGGCAGCTCACTCATGTTTTTTGGGCTCACCATACCAACATAGTGGATCGTTATGGTGAATACATACGTAGATGGGTATATACAATGTGTGTATATAGTGTAATAACAGCAAAAACACTGTTTGATTGTAGAATATGTCGCATATATGAGGCCCATAATTTTGAGCATAGCGATGTTCTATACTTTGAATTATATAAATTCCACAAATTACACACTTTTAAATAATATTACAGCAAAAAAAAAGGAAGAAATGAATGAGAAACTTCAAAATAATTGCGCAACATTTTATTCGCAGCAACTGCCGTCGCACGGGGTGGCGGGGCCGACAGACCCCCATCGCTCCAACGCTCAGCGCCCATAATTTGCTCAACTTCCCAGCTCCATCGCAGCTAAAGTAAGTCACATACAATATTTTTTGTTTAGTTTCCCCGTGATCAGACTCTGCATTTTAACAATATAAGAAGAGAAAAAAAATTTTTGGAAAGAATTTATTTCTTGTGCACCAGGGTGTTATTTGGAGACAGAGCAGTTCAGTGGTTAACTACTAAATTTTTTTTTCTCCCACACACGCACCCCCCTAGGAAGCAGCCTGTAACAGCTAACTCCCAGATACCTATTTACTGTTAGGTAACAGGGGTCATCCCCTTTTGTACAAAGAATCTGCTAAAGCTTTTAGGGCTAATCTTTGACACTCGTTTGTCTTTGTCGCCCCATATTTTTTACGTCCGAGTTGAATGCTCTAAGGCCCTTAACTAACTTTAGGTCATGTCCCATACTTCTTGGGGAGCTAATCGACACTGCTCCTCTCTTTACATTCCTCTCTCGTTCTGTCTAAACTCGATTATGGCCCTGTTTACTCGTCTGCTTCTCCTTCTACCCTTCACCATCTGGACACACTGCATCATACTGGGTTACGGCTCAGCTCTGGTACCTTTCCTTCGACACCTACCCTAAGCCTGTATGTTGAAACTGGCGTCCTGTTTCTACAGGATCGCCATGATCGCTACTGTCTTCTCCACCTTGCACGGTCCTTACAGCACCCTCACTCTTGCTTATGTCATGCCTTGACCTTTACCCATCCTGTGGTTCCTGTTCCCCTTCACCACCTATCTCTTTCTGTACGGTTGTCTCTCTTACAAAATGCTCTTTCAGTTTGTGTTACCAATATTTCCCCTCGTGTCATTCCGTCTTTGCCCCTATGGAGGGGTCCCCGTTCCTAAATTCTGTAAGCCTTGACCCACATGACTAAAACTTTTACCCCTCCTACAGTTCTAAATCACCTTTTCCTTGAACACTTTTCTTCACACTTCCACTCTATTTCCGTCTTCACCAATGGGTCTTAAGTCTGCAGACGGTGTAGGCTACTCTGTTGTTTTTCCTGACTGCACCTTTGTGTCTCCTGCCTCCGGAGACTAGCATCTTCATGGCAGAACTTTATGCTATTCTCTATGCTCTTCATCAACTCTTTTCTCGCTGTCAATCCTCCTCTGTGTTTGTAGTTGACACTTGCAGTGCCCTCATGGCTCTAGAATCCTTTAATCCAGTCCATCCTTTGGTAGTTGAAATTCAACATTGGCTGTTTCTTATCTCCAGTAGATTTAAGACAGTGGAATTTCGCTGGATTCCCACCCATATTGGTGTGTTCTTAAATGAGCGTGCGGACACTGCCGCTAAGGAAGCTATCCGCACCTGTCCCATCTCCCGTAAAGGTATTCCTTATTATGACTTTTACCCAGTTATTCATTTCCCCATTCTTGCCCGTTGTCAGGGTTGTTGGTCTTCTGTTACTGGTAACAAACTGCGTGCTCTTAAGAGTAGTGTGTTCCCGTGGCCTTCCTCCTACCACCGTAACCGGTGGTGGGAAACGGCTCTGGCGAGGTTGTATATTGGTCATACACGTTTAACTCACGGGCACTTAATGGAGCGCTGCCCTGCTTCTTATTGTCCAAACCGTTGTCTCTACATGTCCTGACTTCCAGGACTTACGTGTCTTGCTTCCCGACCATCCCTCACTGTCAATTGTCCCTCGATAAAATTCTTGGTAAATTCAATACCTTTGATATTGTTCGCCGTATGCGTTTTTGTTCTTGTATTGGCGACGTTAGTGATATTTAGCGCACTATGATTATCCCACACATTTGATGGTTTGATAATTACTGTACTGTACAGTACTTTGGTTTGGAATGTATCAAATAAAGTTGTTTCATGTATTCAAATGTGTGAGAAAATCCACTGGGGCTGTGAGATGAAGCGAACCTGTAACAAAGGCATTGCCAGTTGCATACTCTACCACCACTGATGGTAAAAGTCTTACAACTGGATATCTTGTGTGACGGGTTATGGTATCACAGCTATACTGAACCAAGATGGTATGGCTCTCCCTCACATAAATGAAAGAAATGCTGCTATTGGCCTTGCAGTGTGTAAGTTGCAGGTGGAAACAAATGAAAATTATCAAATAAATAATTAAACAATTTACTGAAATAGTAATGAACAAAAATAACACATGACAATACTTGACTATCATGTAATGCAAAGGTGAACAAGTTAGTATGACCTTAAATGCAAAAAATAAACTATAAGCAATGAATAAAAGTATGAAGATATACTGGTGTTCTGAAGACAGCTACCATACCACCATGGCATCAGTCACACGACGTTGGCTGGAAGCGGACGACGGGTTAGAGACACGAAGGTGATCCTAGAGCACTAAGGGAGAGATTGCCTCTCCAGGGAGGCAGCGCTCTTTATATAGTCCGGCGGTGATGACTCATCCAGTGTCAACACGAGGTGGACATCTGGTCAACTAGCAAACTGCTCGTTGTGGCTGGCGGTGCCTTTGTGTTGAGCTGTACCACTGTCAGTTGAAGGCGGCTAACTGCTTGTTTGTGGGGACAAACTGCCAGTTAGCAGTGGCGCCCGGCTTGCCTCTGAGTCGTACCAGGCCGTGCCAGGCCCTGGGGGGTATGGAGAGGTGGCAGGACTGATGACTCTTCTGGGCTGGTGTAGATGTATACTTCCAGTGCAGAGGCATTGAAGGTGAAGGGAAAAGGCAGTTCCACTGCTATGCAGGGGATTCACGTGACACTTGTGAAGCCACAGAAAGTCTGGAGGCCCTACTGAAGCCAGTCCAAGTATTAAATAAAACCCCTGAAGTACGCCGGTGAAGGGTAAAGTGAAGGGTGAAGCAAGACCGTATGCCCCAACTTCAGGCACACACAGAAAATCACGTTTTGGTCCCGCCTCTCAACTGTGTATTTGAAGTTGGGGCGTATGGTGTTGAACTGCTTCAGCCTTCACCTGAGTGCTTGTAGGTCTTACGTAAGACGTTGACTCAAGGAGTGGCCTCAAAACTTGCTGTGATTTATGGGGAAATCCGGTTGTAAGACTTTTACAAAGTCAGTAATATACTGTGGTAGAGTATGCAGCTGCCAGTGCCTTGGGCAAGGGTTTACGTCGCCTCACAGCTCCAGTGGATTTTCTGCTTGGTGTATATCAGGTTGTGATTTTGTGTGTGTACCGTATTGTTATGATCGCCGTCTGATAAGTCCTTTCTGGCCTCAAGAGTCATTGTTACCCACCTAGAAAGATTGCAGATGGCCAAAGCAGTTATTTAAGTTAAGAAGGGACAAGTCTTAAACAGAATTTTGCATAATATTTGACTGTAAAGGGGTAAATTGAGGTAGATTGAAAAACAAAATGGTGAACCGGGCAGGCGGTACTCACAATTAGGCGAGTACACTCGGGAACTTTTAAAGTGCAACCAAACATGCTTTAGGCTCTCACAACAAGAGGTGAGTGGTGGTGGCTCAGGTGCTCAGCCAATCAGAGCACCTAAGGAGGGAGGGCAGGAGTGAGAGGGGGGTGGTATGTGGAAGTTTGGTGACAGTTGTGTGTAGTTTGTTCATCTTCATTGTAAGTTTCATGGCTTGGTGTGC